AGAGAGGAATGTGGCTAGAAGGTGATTTCTTGAGAGAGAGAGCTTTTTGAAAAGATTTTGGGTTTGTGAGAGTAGGGAGAAAGTGAGTTTGTGAGGGAGATCACACGGTTGCTCCTAGCTTGCTGCACGCTGCTCCTCGTGTGGTTCGAGAAGATCTTGTGGGAAGCTTTCTAAGGGGGAGATCCTTCAAGGTCTATGTCCTTTAAGGTACTTTGCCTTTTCCAGGAGGGAGAAAAATGAGAAGGTTTGCTGCCGTCATCGGGAAGGTGACATATATAGCGTTTGGTACTCCACCATGCCGAGAAGGTGAATGTGAGGTTTGTAAAGGCTTCTCTGCCTTATTGTGGGGGCAAAAGGAGAATTACTGTTTAGTAGTGAAATTCCCGGAGTTGAGGAATCCAGGGAGTGGACGTAAGTCAAGCGACCAAACCACTATAAATCTTATGGTGTGATTTTTTCCTTAATGCACTTTATTTATGTTCTGCATTTTTACATTCGTTATAATTGCTTGGTGAAAATCACATTCTAATTTTTTGTTGAGCAAGTTAAAATTTCATCACCTATTGTTGCAATCGTATTTTAAGAATTCGCTTCAGCATCAATTTAATTTTCTTGTTTAAAATTAAAAAACAAAAAAAATTAGAACTCCTGTTTATTATTGTTATTTTATTGCAACAAATTTTCAATTTACCCCCCCCCCCCCCCTTTTTCCCCCCCCCCCCCCCTCTTTGTGCATCTCGTACTTTCACATTCTACTCAATCTATTAAGTGAATAAACAATAATATAAATATCAATAACTACAATTCTATTGAATTTGCGACTACATATGATCACAAGAAATACAATTATAACTCAATCACGACAGTCTAGTTGTAGCAATTCGAGTACCTTTCAACAAATAGCTTATGGACGACCGAACAATTGTCGCTTACAATTGCTAAACTAGACATCAACTGTCTATATATATATAAATGCTCTGATTCGAGCATACGTAAACTTGACTCGACTTTCAAATATTTAACCTAGCGGTTATGTTGTATACCAATCACTGATTATTAGGGAATGATGAATCAAACACAAAGAGAAATAATAAATCACGATATTCAGAACACAAACGAACACCAGAGATTTAAGTGGAAACTAAAACTTGGGAAAACCCATAGGGGAGAATAGGCAACGGCTTCACTATAGAGAAGAGATGGAGTACAAATAGCTGACGAATCCTGAGCCTTTTACAATATATTTATAGCACAAAAATAGGACACTGAAAAACAAACAAAATTTTAAAAATATCCTGAGAGGTCTAACAGCGCCAGGAGGCGCTCCCATCTTAGACCTCCGATATATCTACAAAGAATATCACGGTCAAAGATAAAAACAAATAAAGATCCAACCATGGCATACATCAAAGAACTTATCAGCATCTTCTGAATATTTATCTATACCTACAAGTGCTTTAATTTAGCCATATGTGATACATAACATCACAAAACGACAATATCCTTTGGGCCATTACCAGTACTGCACTACTCTCCTTCCTTGAAGCTTCTTTGTTATTCATTATTACTCTCCCTTGTTTTCTATTGTATCATTTAATAAAGTTTCAGGCCGTACATAATCAACATGAAATAATCATGAAGTGAAAAAATATTTATTTATTATTAAGATGTGTGACATAAAAGATCAAAATGATCTGAAAGATCAAAATGATCACCGACAATATTATATAATACTTGTGACCGATAATTTTTTTTTTAGGAACGGGGGTATCGGTCCACTGTCGCATCAGCGTCGCGTCAGCTTGTGACGCGTTTGACGATGTCCATTAATCCCTCGGCGAGTCTACCAGCAACCAACCCCACAGGTGTATGACCCACAGTTCTTTTCTCTCCACTTAAGGAGTCGTGCCGTATGAGAGTGGATTCGAACTTAGAATGGAGGTTTCCCAATCTAACACGCCGACCAACCCACCTAAACCCGATGGGGTTGACCGATAATTTTCATTACACTGGAAGTCACAATGTGACCAGGATATATGGAAGGCTGAACCTTCTATTCCTTATGGGTTATAGGATAATTGGGCAAAGGAATAGTTCAATAAGCCTACTTTATAATTATCATTTGATTATTTATATGTAGAGATTTATAAAATTATTTGAATTATTTAAATTATAAGAAAAAAAATTATTCCTTTTTTTCTTAGGGCTCCACCAAGTGGCTAAGGAGATTTTGAGCATTGATAAAATGAGGAAATATTTCTTTTTATTGAGAGCTAAGTATCATTAAAAAAAAATCATTATAATTACAAATGTAACATTGATAAATGTCAACTTATTAAAATATTTATGAAAATTATGATATTGTATATTTTTTCAAAAGAGCTAATTAATGTTAAATTTGTTAGTTTTTACATTAAAAAAATATTACTTTAGTTTTTGATAGCTAATTAATGTTAAATTTGATTTGCATTTGAAATGATCATCTTGAAATCTTAACAAATATTTCAGTAAACTTACAGTCAAATTGAACATCTCAAAAATACGAACCCAACAACACCAAATTCGACTCTATCCAAGCCCCAAACGAGTCCAAATCAAAAACCCGAAGCTCATTTGGAAGGTTCAATCCATAATTTGGATTACCAAACAGGTTCGAAAATTGACATGCTTAAAGTTGAATCGAGCGGCGTGACGAGACAAATCCAAAGAGCCCAAGATTGTCAAATTTTGATATCATTAAGACATTCAAATGTTTAGTAAATGGTTCATGATCAAGGGAATCAACATCGACAGTCCATTCAATCTCGAGTAAATTTTAGTTGAAATTGTATTATAATGATTGAATTTGAAACTCACTTAAATTAGCTTAAATGAAAATATTTTAAAGAATCTAGAGTAAATTTTAGCCCTCGACCCAAGCGGTCTGCTTCATTTTCCGCTTTGCTCCTCTCTCACGACTTGCAACTCACAACCTCGAGCATGACATTCGTTTTCCCTTTTGCTCCACCCTCGCCCACAAACGGAGACCGCCGGTGGCAGATATTTATGTCTTCTAAGCTCTAAAGATCATGTCATTTGCATTCTTAATTTTTATCTTAGAACTTCTCTTGGCTCTGGTAATGAGACAACAAACAAAACTATTTTAATATAGGCCCGGCACCCCTGAATAAAATTTCTGGCTTCGCCACTGCTTGCAAACTCAAATACATATTATATATATTGCAAAATGTTCTTATATTCTTTTTTTAGTAAGCATATTTTATTCTAAAACGCAACTCATCTTGACCTGTTAATTGAGAGCTTTGACTACTAATCAAGAGGTTATAGATTCGAGTCTTGATTTGTTTATGAGTGTCTTAATGAGTCTAAGGCTTCATTTGAGACAACTCTTTTACTGCTTTCTTGCTTTCTGAAGCATTTTTTTAATACAATTTTTTAGTATAAGAAATTTTTGTACAAAAAATTGTTTTAGAAATAAGTGAGAAAGTAGTCCCAAAAGAAGCATAAGATTTCATTTGAGATGACTTTTTTAATGCTTTTTAAACTAATTTTTTAGTATGAAAATTAAAATTTTAGTGCTACAAAGTTGTTTTAAAAATTAGTAAGAAAATAATTTCAATTCAAACCAAAATATCTAAAAAAAACCATTAATTTTAAAAGAGATTTTTAGTACAATTCTTTGTCGGATTTTTGTCCCTAAGCGGTCAGCAAACTTTCAATTAAGATAAATAAATAAATAAATAAATAAATCACGGACTCATTACTGCAAAAAGTTTGAGATCTCTCCAGATTCACGGATTTGGAGGGCAGCAAAAAGAAGACAGTCTCCAGCTTCCCACCCATGCGTCTTCGTTCAACGAGTGGGGCCCAAACTCCTTTCTACCCCAATATTTAGGCTAGGTTCGTTTTTGGTCCAATTCTCCAGCTTTTTTGGTTTGTTCCAATCACCTTAATGAGCTTCTTAACCTTCCTTCTCCTCGCTCCCCAATCCATCTGTTAAAAAGAAAGTCATGAACGGTGGGCTATCAGACCGGTGCATTTGGTCGGACCAGGCCGAAAGGCCACGAGATTTGTATATTGATAACTTTTTCATTATTTTCTAAAATATCTTTTTAGTATAATTTAATTTAATACTGTATGCAATTAAAAAGAATCTTTATATTAAATTTAAATTTTTAAATTATGCATTGATTATGAATCAACATATTATATCATATTAGTTTTGTACATACTTAATTAGAGAAAAAAGAATTTTATTAGTGAATATATGAATCAACTTAGCAAATTAAACATGTAGACAGTCAACATCAAGTAATCTCAAAACGAGTTCCTGACAATTTAATGACACCAAATATTACAAAAATTTAAAAAAAGATATGTCACCGTCAAAATATGAATCATTATAAACCATTTCATGTGATCAACATAATTTCTTAATTTCTTCGTATGAGATAATTATGATTCCATTATTTTTATTAAAATAAATAATATTCATTTCTTTATTTATATAATGAAATTGAAGTTTAATTCTTCATATATTGAAATGATTATCAAGATGGTAATCAAAATTATTTGGAGTTTAAATTTTTATGATAAAATTATTTTATTTTGTATATATCAGCCCAAATTTTGACTCAAAATCTCAAATACTACAAACTATATTCAAAATTGATTTAAATTTAAAATTAAAATATTAATTTTAATCTAAACTATTAAATTATAATATTCTTTCAATATAGTATTACTATATGTCTATATTAATGCTATTGAAAAATATCTTATTATAATCACCGCGTTAAAAATGTGCGTTTAAAGTGTTTTTGTTTTATTTTGTTTGCATAAAAACCTCACCGATAACGTAAAACATTCGGTTCAACCGTTACTCGTCAGGGACAAGCAAAAGCCCAACAAGAAATAATTCGGACTGGGTTTATCCCATTAACCCGCCCGAATTCTGATTATTCAATAGCCAATTTCTTGAACGGTCCATCCGAACAGCTCACACAGCCCGCCGGTTACAGCTATAAACCGCCGTTTCCCCATAAATAGGCCTCCATACCCCCGACGGAGAGCACCACAAGAGAAATAAACAGAACCAGAGAGAGAGAGAGAGAGAGAGAGATGGCGGATGCTGTGCAATCTTGGAGCATCGACAACATCCTCAAGAAGCATTTGCCCCACAGGGGATCCGTGGACGAGGATGATCTGAACTGGGACGACAAGAAGGATTGGGCCTCGAACATTCCGGCGAAGAAATGGCCGGCGGATCCGGCCGAATGCTTATCCAATGCTCGTCACGAGTTCGGCGAGCACGGCGGCGTCAACATGTCGATCGAAGCATCCGCGACCTTCACGGTCATGGAACCCGACACGATGCGTAAGATGTTCGCCGGCGAGCTGGGACCCGATCGAGATTTCTATATCTATAGCCGACACTTTAATCCCACCGTACTCAACCTCGGCCGCCAGATGGCCGCCCTCGAAGGCACCGAAGCAGCTTACTGCACCGCTTCTGGCATGTCCGCCATCTCCGCCGTGATCCTCCAGCTATGCCCTAGCGGATCCCACATCGTCGCCTCCAGATGCCTTTACGGCGGAACCCACGCTCTTCTCTCACGATTCCTGCCGCGAGCTGCCGGGATCCAGACGAGCTTTGTGGATATTAATGATATGGAAGCCGTTCAGGCTGCGGTCAGGGAAGGAGAGACGAGGTTGATTTATGCGGAGACGATGTCGAATCCCACGCTAACGGTGGCGGATATACCGAGTTTGAGTGCGGTGGCGAGGGAGAAGGGGCTGTTGCTGGTGGTGGATAATACGTTTACGCCGATGGTCGTGTCGCCGGCGAGATTGGGCGCGGATGTGGTCGTGCACAGTGTTTCGAAGTTTATTAGCGGTGGCGCCGACATCATCGCAGGTATGTGGCTGTGATTTGGTGCCCTAATGCGGGCATCGCCCAGTGCCCTACTTTTCCTATTTAAATTTAAATTTATTTATTTTGCTTTGGAATGTTCAGGAAGGGTTTGGTTCGCCCGCCAAGCTTGTGAGTGTCGGCGATTATCATTATTTCATTATTATGATGGAAATTTTTTCAATAGAATATTTGATTAAAGACCTCATCTAATCAACTAAGAATAAACGGTCCATAAAATTTTAGAAACATATTTTCAATCCACTGAAGGGCTATTTTGGCTAATTTTTCATTTTATTTTATTTTTTCATCTTTCAAAAAATATGTTTGATTTATATTTTCTTAGTTGTTTTTGTTTTTTTACTTTTTAAAAGTATTCAAAATGTTTTCATATATATTTAAATATCTTCATTCCGTGGAAATGAAAATCATCTTGATCCTATGAAATTCAATTAATAGAAAATAATTATCAAGAATATGAATTGTTTTTTGTTTTATATGTAGTTAAATAAGATAAAAAAAATAAATCAGAAGCTGATATCAAATAGCCCTAACGACAAAATGAGTATTTCCATTTTCCACTTCTATGAAATATAACAAAAAAACATGCAATTTTAAATTTTTAGATAATTTTATGTATAATATTAATAGAAATTGTAAAAAATAAAATGCATGATTAAATTAGTACGTTGTTAATTTTTTATCTTTAGATCATCCAAAACTTTTCCAACTTAATTTTTCTTGAAATATTTTGGATATGATTTTTTTCCTTATTAATTGTTTTTTTTTTTCATTTGGGTAAAGACTATTCTAAATTTGAAAAAAAAAAAGATAGAGAAAAAAGAGTGATAAGTAGACATTAAATATTAATTAAAATGATATAGAAAAAGGTTATAATAGATGATGCGACGTTACTAATATCAATTTATTTAATAAGTTGTTAAAAAGTTAAAATTAGGTGTAAGCGAGTCGAATCATTTGAGTCATCATTGGCTTGAGCTTGATTAATTAGTTGAGTTCGAACTCGATTTTAAGCGTTATTCAATGAGTTAAAGGCTTCTGCATGGTTGAAAAAAAAATACTTATATTAAATGATAAAAAAATAAGGAATTTAAAATAATAGAAAATAATGTAATATAAAAAATAGTATATAATTTTAAAGCATTTTTAATAATAATGTCATTAAATCATTAATATTCATATTTTTAAGTGTTTTTTAGTAGTAATATATTTTAAAAGAGTTGGTCACAAAATAATGAGTTGGGTCATAGCTAGCTCAAGCTTGACTTGTTAGTCATTGAACCCGCTCCTGAGCTATTTATAGAGTCAAATTTGAGCCTTCTTATGAATAAGCTTGACCCACTTACACGTTTATTGGACTGATCAAAATGACTAATAGCATTATAACACTTATTAATCACAAAAGGCGTTTTTTATTTGATGAATCGGACTCGTACGTTAAATTGGAACAATATATTTTCCTGAAGAACTAACATCTTTTATACAAAATAAAGCTTTTAGTTAATTACTTCAAATGCTTTATTTTTTACATGAAATATTTTATGTAAGAATCAGATATTTCATTCTTCACTTGGGTTAATTTCTTAATGAACTTTTATATGAATTGTAAGACTATTTCTTCTAATTAGACAAAATATGAGACATAGAATATAAAGCGTCAATTCTAATTTATATTATCTTAAAAAACGCTAACAAATTCGTATAAGTTAGCATAACAATTAAAACGCAATTGCATTAAGTGTAAGAATTTTTTTTTAAGGCATTTTTGTTCCTTGATTAAGTAGCCCATACTATTTAAAATTATTTATTTCCAAGCAAAAGATAATGAGAAATCTGCAGGAGTCGGAGATAGCATTAATTTAATTATTTAAGTAAAGATTCCCACGTGGCCATCTCATTGCTTCCATTGATATCCACATGGCACGCAAGACTTAATTCTATCACTGTCCTTATTCTTATTTGGCTCCATAGATTCAGACCAGCCCAACGTACAGACAAAACTATGGATATATTAGATTAGTAGTAATCGTTTTGTTTCTGGGCCGGTTGTTACAGTCAAATTACCTTGGACTCCTCCAGTCTGGAGCATGCGCCAAGCTTGAAGCCTTCTGGGCCTTATCACAGGAAAGGTGGCAACAGCTCACCTCCTTCATTATCCTTCTTTTTTTTTTTTTATGGAAAGATCATATCATACTCCATAGAATAATGTTTTGCATTTTGCTTATCATTTAGGGGCTATTTGGTAGCACTCAAGATTTGGTTTAAGTAGTATTTCATAAATATGCTAAATCTGGATTTCGGAAATTCCTAGGGGCCTAAATCTTGAAAACTGTTTGGTAACATTCATGATAAATCCTATTAAATCCCGTGTGATTATTTGACTATGAAATGGATTTAATGAGCTGACTCTTCCTCTCCGTCCAACGGATTTCGTAAATCATGCAAAAAGCAGGATTTCAAAAATCCAAGGGTTTAGCACGAAAAGGCGGAATTTTCCGTCTACAGTGTTGATTTGGTTTTGCATTTTAGGTCGTGGATTTCACTCAAATCTGCTTCAAATCCAACCTAAATCCTACTTCCAAACAGCCCCTTATAGATAAACATCTCATGTAAATAACTTACCTCGATCTGTTTATGCAGATGATTTAATTGGAATCTTCACCTATATATCAGTATAAAATTTAATATTAATTTCTGATATCATAACCATTATATATAATTTATTTTAAAAAAAAATTTATGAACTAATTTTTCTGCTTTTTATTGTCGTAGAAATATCAACTTAAAACTTTGTTTTTTTTGCAGGTGCCATATGCGGGCCGGCGAGCCTAGTAAACTCCATGATGGACCCGCAGAACGGCGCTCTTATGCTTCTAGGCCCAACAATGAACGCCAAGGTGGCCTTCGAACTGGCGGAGCGACTTCCCCATCTCTCCCTCCGCATGAAGGAACATTGCAGCCGCGCCATGGCGTACGCCTCCCGCATGAAAAAACTGGGCCTCAAAGTGATCTACCCGGGCCTCGAAGACCACTCCCACCACTCCCTCCTCCGCTCCATCGCCAACCCCGGCTACGGCTCCGGTGGCATGCTCTGCGTCGACATGGGCACCGAGGACCGCGCCAACCGCTTCCTCCACCACTTGCAGAACACCGCCCAGTTCGGCCTCATCGCCGTCTCCCTCGGATACTACGAGACGCTCATGTCGTGCTCCGGCAGCAGCACCAGCAGCGAGCTCACCGAGCAGGACAAGGCGCTCGCCGGAATTTCGCCGGGCCTTATACGCATGTCGGTGGGCTATAGCGGATCGCTTGAGCAGAGGTGGGCGCAGTTCGAGCGAGCGCTGGCTGCGTGTGCGAAGGATAATGTGGCTGCGCCGCCGCATCTGCCGATTTCCTCGATCTCATATGGTGTTGATAACTGATGGATGGATGAATTATGTGGAGAATAAAGGGACCGTCTGTTTGTTTGTAGGTTTCTGTGTTAGTTTGAATTTGTGAGTCGCATGTTATGATGAATCTTTGATGGAATTTGGAATGTGGGAACTTGCACTGAACTTGTTTGTATTGTTAGTCTACATATATTGCAGTATATTATTATATGCTCGCAAATACTGTGGGCTTTATTATGTTTTTTAACAAGAATTCACTCATCAATAGATGGATGAAAAGATAACAGCACTCTAAAATTTTTATTTGAGAAGTAAAAAATTATGGGACTTGACCAAAATATCAAATAATTTCATTATGTGAATGCTAATTATGAAGATTTGTTTGTCCACCAAATCGAAGAAGGTGAAATCATAATTGTGTAAGTGGCTGCCAAAAAATGTTGTAAAGGTAACAGGGGATGAGAGGTGTTTGGATGATTGCGGTCAAGTGACAACAGTCTGGTGGGGAGTGGCAATCCAACTATGATTGTAGTCTGACAATGATTGTCATGCTACCATGCTATGACGGTGGTTTGGTGGCGACAGTCCAATGAAAATGGTGCAAGATTGTGGGGGTTTGACAATGATGGTTAAGTTACAACAATATAGCGATAGTGATGGTGCAATGACATTTCGATAGTGGTGATTTGATGATGATTATGATTAGGCGAGGTGATCCAATGATGATGATCAGGTGGTAGAGGTCCAACGATAGCGGTCAAGTAGTGGCTATCAGATAGTGAAGTCTAAGCATTTGTGATTCAATGATTAAGGTTATGATGCGGTGGTCTGACAGTGACAGTCAAGGATGATCTAATTGTTGCAATCAGACGATGTTTCCAAGGCAGTGATTGGTTGCTAGCTTAAAGACAATGAACAATAACTATCTAATGGCAACAATCAAGTGACATTTCAAAGGAAACAATTTGGCAGTTGTAGGATGGTGGTCTAACAACGAAGGTCTGATAACAGCAGTAGCTGATGGTCAAGTGGCAACAATTGAACGGTTGTCCAAAGATAGCATTCTACCGATAATCTGATGATGGTTGTCCAATGGTTGTACCCCGACAGTGGTGCTTGAGTAAAGTTTTGAGATTCTCCAAGATTCTAAGCTTCTTTAAATCTTAAGCCAAATGATCACCATCATTTAGAGAGCACAGGCATGCCCCATAAATATAACTAAAATTCTTCTAGTTATACTGTGGATAACCTCACAGTTGGAGAAAAAAACACCATAGAATATTATAATTCCTCTTAAGGAATTTTAATGGAAATTCCTTAAATTGTTGGAGTAAAAAACCCTTCAGTCTTCACTCATCTCAGTTATATAACTTAGTATAAGAACTAATCAAGAATCCTTCCCATTGGCTATATCAACTTTCCTACTCCTTCCACATGACCTGATTTATGTCATCGCATCCTATCGTACAGCTCATACATCCGTTCATCCCAATTCAATCGCAAATACACCTACTAAGGCTTCGTTTGGGATGGCTTATTTATTGCTTCTTAAAATAACTTCTTAGTACAAAATTATTTAATTTTTCTCCTAAAAAAACTACTTTAAGAGGCAGTAAAAAAACCATCCCAAATGAAGCTTAAATTTCAGACAAAAATGTTCTATTAACGAGAGGCCTGAACTTAAACAGAAACTAACGAGCTTGTCTACAGAATAACCACTAAAGTTTTCAGGAGAATTTCCCCTGGTATCCTCAAATCTTGAAGAATGTGCAGAATAATTGAAATGATGTGACAAAGTACAGCATATAGATGCCATGAAATCACTAGAAGTAACTTGTATATCATTAGTTAGCAGATCGGTTCTTACCATAAGTATGCATTAGAAATGAAGTCCTCATCAGTAGTTTAAGTCTTGCTGGGAAATCTCAAAATAAGCCCATCAAAGTCAACAGGAAGAAGCAACTTCTGAAGTAGGCAGCTTGTGGAGATAGCATCTGGGGGTGGTACAATCATATAGATTTCATTCTTTTTACTAAGCATCCCCACCACAGTCAAAGAGGTGCCCTCCTTGATGAACCTGCTAATCTCATGCGAGATTAAACAGTTTTTGATGGATTAATACTTCAGGAGGGATGAAAAATGAAGTGAGATAATTCACGTTTCATTTGGAATGATTTTCTTATTGCTTCTTAAAGCTACTTCTTAGTATAAAAATTAAGATTTTGTACTATAAAACTGCTTTAAGAAGAAGAGAGAAAGTTGTTCCAAATGAAGCCTCAGCCAACAAAATGCGTACCCCTCTTTGAGATGGAGCAAGCGAGCTTCGACGGGAAGGGACCTTTCTTCTAGCCATTTCTTCAGAGTAGAAGACACCATTCTGTTTTTCTTTCTGGTATTCACAATCAAGTTTTCACCAACAAGAGGAATAACTTTAGAATCATAACCAGCTTTCACTAAAGCTCTCATTCCAGATTTTGCATCTGTTATGTAGAAGTCAGCAGTAAACCTCTGTGAATATTTGAAAACAAGAGAAAATAAAACCATATCAGCAAATCTAGTTTTATAGAAAGTGGCAATAGGTCTGAAGGACTGTGTTCATAGCTTTAGCGAGAATAAATAAGAGATTTATGAAAAAAAAAAAGCTGAAAATTTTTTATTGAGCACTTGATCAAAATATATAAGGCAACATGTAGGATGAGGGGTAATAAGCTTCCAAAGGTAAAAAAATTCATTTATAGCATTTTGTTCTTTACTCAAACATCCAACTAAACTTTGGATATTGATCTGATAGTAAATACTTGAGTTCGCAAGTAATTCTATCGAAAATACTTGAGTTCGCAAGTAATCCTAACAATAAATTGATAAAAAACAGCGAAAAAGATCACAAGAACGCCAACAAAATCAACCCAAGACAGTAGATTGTATTAGGGAAATCAAAGCAAAGCAAACATAAAGCAAAGATATAATTGATCCTCAATTCGAGAGGAGAATCATTCTCCCAATCTCTAGACGAAGAGTCTAGAGCCTAAATCACCTCATATGAAAAAGTTCTTATAATGAAAATCGAAAGAGCTCAACACATGAATCTAAGAATTAAAGATTGTGGTTCCTTTGGGTTATATCTTCCATCCACGCTAAACAATATATGGCAGAAATAACAGTACAAGCGATATTAAATTTGGAGAAAGATATGTTAGTTTCCTACCTCCAAATACGCCAATTTCCAGCAAACGTGTCTGTCATTAACTCTTACAGTCCTTGATCCAGTATGATAGTCGTTAGTTGAAATCTTAAATCCAAACCCGCTATACTCATATAAAAGAGTTGACGTATAAACACATCTTTCAACTTTTTCATACGAAGATTCCAAGGGAAAATCACCGCATTCAGCAAGCTGGTTCACAAATAAAACAAGAAGAGATAAAGGAAATTAAAACAGCTTCATAAACTAGTAAATAAATATAGGAATGAAAATCCCTTAAACGAATGAAAATCCTCCTCAGTCTAAATACTCCAACTTAATAGATTTCTCCAAATGAAAATCATAAAAGTTGAGTATATTTTTGTAAAATAGATTGTGCGTGCACGCCAAGAGAATACATTGGATAATTTCTTCAGAAACATATACAATCAAAGTTCTAGAATTGTTCACAAAGTTCTTTCTTGTGAGGAAAAAAAAAGGTTCCCACCATTAATTCTAAGTTTTCCACATTCACCACTAAGAACATATCCATGTTGGCAGGTAATGACAACTAGCATGCATTGTCTCTTTATCTTTTTAAGAAATTTGACCCCATGGCTTAAATTAAATAGGGTTTGGGAGGAAAATTTTGAATGAGGGGTGGTTTAGAGATTATGTAATTTTCCTTTTGCTTTAATTAGTCTTTCTTATTATGGTTTGGGATTATCTTAAGTTTGAAATCAAATTTGAGATCTAGGGTTTGTTCCTTTGGGCTCTAGGCTTGGCTAGAAATTTGGAGAGTTATTTCTTCCTCTCAAATTGAAGAAACTTGTATCTTTTGATGTTTTCCTGCATCGGCCAGTGGAATTCTTCATTTTTATCTCAGTTTTCTTCATATTTCTCAAGAAGGTTGCTGTACCGTTGCTGTTTTCTGCTGTAATCAGCAGTTTTATTGTTATTTTTCACCAATCACTGTTAGGTTTGCTTGCAAACTCAAGTATTTCCTATCACAACGCTTGCAAATTTTTTGTGACTTGGCAAATTGTTTTCTCCCTCCAAATGACTCATTTAGATTCCTTTTAAGAATCATTGATTCATCCTGAGTTTTTAACTCTTGCAACCTCCTATAGAATCTACTGAAAATTTCAGGTCAAAGGAACCTTAAAGCAAGTATCACATAAATGACTCCAATTGAACCCAATTCATAGAATTATATGCATTGTCTTCTCAGCACCTGTCTTTCAGTGTTGTTAGTTAAATCCTCACAGCAAGCTTACAATTGTATTGTTAACAACCTCTCATGAGAGATTATTGGGTTCGGACACCGGACACAGCTTACCGTTCGGTACTCATAGTACCGAACGATACTGAGCTCGGTACTGTGAAGTACTGAGTTTGGTACTTCACAGTACCGAGCATACTGAGCTCGGCACGGAGGAGTACCGAGCTCGGTACTGCTTGGTACTACCAATGTTTAAAATTGCATATTCGAGTATTGTCTAACTAGGGTTTAAGTTTTTACCGAAAATACTTGATAAAATCGAGAAATCTCTGGCTTGTTGCACTTGTAGACTATCCACGCTCCTATTTGAAGAAGAAATCACGAGCTCCCGACGTCTAGATCGCATGCAAAACGAGCTGGAAGTTCCTTGGCCTCAGTTCGCCGGAGATCTCGCCGCCGGCGAGGTGTCACTGTCGGGATTAGGTCGGGAAAGGTGGAGGGAAGATCCAGGAGCTCTCTCACAAAATCTCTTGGCCTTAGGAGGAATAGAATGCAAGATCCCCTAATTGGAACCCTAAAATCAATATTTAAAGGCTTAGACTTAACACCAACGGCCGTGATTCTATCCAAGCACGATTAGGAGGGAAAATAGGTTGAAAACCACGAGATTCGAATTTCTAAAACATTTGGAATTGATTGGGGCATTAAATGTGAGACCTCGTTCCCTTACTGTTCCTCTCAGATTTGGATTTTTCCTCTCAGGATCGTCCAGGACGATTGGAAATCGTCCAGGCCGATCTGCACTGTAGAAAATATCGGCCTGAGAATAGTTCTGGGAATTTACTTCAAGATTTATGTAAGTTTTAATATATATAGCGTGAGACGTAAGCCTCATGCCAGTGAGGCGAGCCAATCCTCAATGCGAACCTCAACCAAGTTGAGGCGCAAGCCTCATAAAAAAAACTCGAGGCGTTTTTTACTGGAATTGTGCAAAGGTGGGCCTCAAGGCGATCCACATATTGCGCAATTTTAAACCATGGGTACTACTAGTACCGAGTAGAGGGTGATGTGGCACATTTTCATTGGCTCTGGATGATGTCCGGTGTCCGAACCCAATAATTTCCCCATGTTGACGAGCTTAATTCTTTTTGAATTTGATCAATTGAAATGAACCCTAATGGGGTCAAATTATTCTTGAGCTGTCTTAATATAATTTCGGACAAATTTTTTTAATCAATAAGATTAAAATGCCTATAGATGCATAAGAAATTATTGTGCCATGAACAACATCAAAATTAAGATCAACAAAAATGAACATGTTGATAAACACTTGAAAACTCTAATGCAACAAGAAATGAAGAACATTTAACATAAAAGGTATATAAAACGATTGTATAATAGTTGCATGGAAATTAATATCCATCAACATTCAACAATGCCGAAATTGAGGTCGTTAATAGCGAGCACATGCCTGGTTACCAAAAAAGTAGAGTGCAATAAAAATGACACAAAATAGAAGAAAGATTACAAAAAAATTTAAATGAAGTCAAAATAAAAATTGCAAAAGATAAATTTTGGTAAAAAATTAGAAATTAAAATTCCTACATTCAACATTTGTATCAATGATTGTATTGTTTTGACATATCCAAATTATTGAAATGCCTTGCGAACTACTGATCTCTTAACCAAAATTAATTTTATTATAGCTCACTCAAACATAATCAAGTTTAAAATGAAATAATTCATCTTAGTGAGGAAATTAATGTTCAATCGAGGCTCTCTCATCCCCTATAGCATTAAATGTCAATCACTCAAGTAGAGCCATCTATAATCCTTTTATGGCTGCCTGGGACCTACAGTATGTAGAGCAAGCAAGCCTCACTCATTTCCTTGCTAAGTAGCTCTAACTCTATGGTGTTTAGGAGCCCATTATGAAACTTTGGCTCCTTCTTTAGAGTAATAGAAGCTAGGATCCTCAAAGTAAAGAAGAATAGAAAGGGGTCGGAGACTATTCATGCTCGAATGCAAAAGATTAATCGACCACATCCTCCTTTGAGCTTCGATGAAGCTCATCGATGAGCACAAATAGTGTTGTAGTGACATACAATTCATGACAGTGTGGGCTCCAAAAATTCGCACTCTGGATTTGCTAAAAGATATTTTAGCATTTTTGAGTCAAATTTTCAAAAGGGTGAATTAGCTAGCAAACAAGACACAACCTAGATATTTCACTCTCATTTAGAAAGGACTTTATGACCTAGTTTCAAGTTTCTCATAGGCGCAAGCCCCTATAGTTAATTACCTCTTGGTGATAAGAAAGAACATTGATTAAGGCTAGATGTTAGAAGCTAAATGCTTAACATATAATAACAACAAATTTGGTGAAAATATTAGAAATTTAACACTTCAAATTTAAAACGAATGATGGGGGAATGATGACAAATTTGATTAAGATCTCATGATTCTATCATCTCATGTTATCATGGTCCCTAGTCTACGTAGTCAAATGAGGTAATCGACCCAACATAACCAAATGAATCAAATGATCATTGTCAGCAACCATGAGTTACTTCGTCCAACAGAACTTTATAAACCTACGTGGATGCTTGTCTAAAGCAATAAATATAAGTTAGCCTTAACAAATAGAGAGCTTTGTGCTCTATCAAGTGCACCATCTAATTCATTATTTAAAGGCTTTTAACCATTGGGAATTTTATAGCCTCTACTTGTTATCATAATTAATGTTGCTCTTTTGCAGCAAAACCACCCAGTCAAATGGCACCAATCATAATCATTCATATGTAATGTCATTTGGTGGCTAAACCATCAATTAGAGGGCATGTTGTTACTCGCGAGAGATTGTTTGAGAATAAATCGTAATGATACACTTGACTGTTATTTGCTTTTTATGAGCTGAGGTTATTCTTAGATATATTATCTAGATAAACGATTACGAAGGATGGATTTTTTTTAGTTATAAGGAGTATATTTCACATGAAATATGTTTACAGTTTTTACAAATATTAAATTTTATAAAATTTTCTCAGAGTTTAAGCCCTAAATCCTGTGGGCTCCGAAAATTCAGCCCCGTCCTCCCCGCCGCGCGATTTCTTTCTGTTTATTCGGCAAGGGGAGTTTTAACGGATTAGGTTCCGGGGTAAATTTTGGAAGGCAGATGGGTTTGTAGATAAGACACTACCCAGAGATTTCACCCTCATTTTGCGAACACTTTATGATCGGAGTTCTGGTTTCCTATAGGCGCAAGCCCCTATAGTTAATTACCCCTTCCGATTACGAGAGAGAACTTTCGATTAAGGCTAGTCGTCGATCAGATACGTAGGATATACGTGTTATCTGGCATATAGTAGCAGCAATAGGTTTGGAATTTGGAGAACTGGATTTGGATTTGGGATTTGAGTTGAAAGTTAATAATAAATTATTTAAATGATTTTTTTGTTATTTAAATATGATTCAATTTACTGAGTTTGGTCTTAGAATTTCTAAGTGTTTAAGAGAGTTGTTTAGTAGAACTAGTAAGTGAGCTCTCAAGTTTATCATAAGTCCCCACTTAGTCTTGTTTTAGTTCAGCTTTCAAGTTTATTTCTGGTCCTTACAATTCATTTAATGCAATGTTTATTGCATTTTAGGTGTTTGATATTTCCTATTTTTGTGATTTACAATTATATATTTTTAATATTATTAGTTGTGTTATTAAATTCAAACACTGCGTTGTCAGATCCCAAGTCCTGGATGAGAAAAGTAAAGGGTTGCATTAGGTAGTCAATAACCATCGTAAAACTTGTCAAAGAATCATGACATGAATCCTTTAAAAAATTAGTGTTAATGCTAAGGCATCCCCTAGAAGTGACGCGCTGCATGGCCTGAATACAACGACAAATTTGTAAGGGTCACTGCATTGGCGCCCAAGTGTAATGTTAAATGGGCAAGAGTTCCCACATCAAGAATGGATGTAGGCAAAGAAGCTAGTCCATGAAACTAAAATTAGGATATGAACTTGGAATATAAGCTCCCTTACAAGAAAATTAATGGAATTAATAGATATTATGATTTATAGGAAGATAAATATTATGTGCATTCAGGAAACTAAATGGGTTGGAGAGAAGGCTAAGGAGATTGATAGTTTATGATATAAACTATGATATTCGGGTAGAAGTCGTACTAGAAATGGTGTATGTGTAATTTTAGATAAAAGTTTGAAGGATAATATTATAAAAATTAATAGAATTGGAGATAGAATTATAATTTTAAAGATTGTTATTGATGTTAAAATTATTAATATTTAAAGTGCTTATGCTGCTCAAGTAGGTTTGGATATATATTCAAAATTAAAATTTTAGAATGACTTAGAAAAATTAATATAAAATATACCTCTTGAAGAAAGAGTTTTTATTGGAGAAGATTTAAATGGACATGTTGGTTGAAAGGAAGATTTTAAAAGCATTCATAGTGGTCATGGGTTTAAAACAACAAATGAATGTGGTAAAACCATATTAGATTTTTTTTTAGCTTATAATTTTTTAAAAGCTAATATTTTATTTAAGAAAAGATATAAGCATCTCATCACTTATAAAAATGGATATAGTAAAATGCAGATTGATTATTTTCTTATAAGAAAAATTAGATCATTTAGATTGTAAAGTTATTTCGAGTGAAAATTTATGTACCTAACATCGATTATTAGTTTTGAACTTTAAGATAAAAGGGCAGAAAATAAAAAATAAAGCAAAATGATATTCTAAAATTGAATGGGGGCATTTAAAAAATATTAACAAAAGTATTTTTGAGAGCAATATTTTAGATCTTAAAATTTTGTTTGTGCACGATGATGCAAATGTTATGTGAAAAAAAGTGGCAAGTGATATTAAGAATATTGCAAAAGGTGTGCTTGGAATTTCGAAGGAAAAAACTCATAATAATAAAAATAGTTGGTGGTGGAATCCAAATGTGCAAGAAAATATAAAAATAAGAAGATTTGTTATAAAAATTAGTTTAGATGTAAAAAATTAGATAATTGTGATAGCTATAAGGAGGCTCGTAAGGAATCTAAGAAAGCTATTTGTGATGCGAAGAGTTTAGTTTTTAATGATTTATATAAGAGATTAGATACTAAGGAGGGAGAAAAATATATGTATAAGTTAGTCAAACAAAGAGATAAAAGTAATAAAAAAATTAAAATAAAAAAATACTAAAAAAAGAGATAAGAGTAATAAGGATTTAGTTCAAGTGAAGTGTATTAAGGATGAAGATAAAAAAAGTATTTTTCTTAGAAGATGATATTCAACAAAGGTAGATGAGATATTTTGCTAAACTTTTTTAATGAAGAATGTGAAAATACGATTGACTTTAGTGACTTTAGCACCCTAAATGAAAATAAAGATTTTTGTTTTTTTCGGCGTAATAGTAAAATTAAAGTTTGAGAGGCTTTAGAGAAAATGAAGCGTGGAAAAACTGTTGACCTGATGATATTCCAATAGAGGTGTGAAAATACTTAGGAGATGAAGGAATTTATTGGCTTACTAAAATTTTTAATACTGTTTTAAAGACTAAAAAGATGTCAGATAAGTGGAGAAAGAGTGTGTTAATTCATATTTTTAAGAATAAAGGTGATGCACAAGAGTGCGAATTATAGACGAATTAAGTTATTAACTTATTTTGTCATACTTTAAAACTACAGGAGCTAGTTATGGAGCATAGGTTACAACGTGATACTAATGTTTCTCAAAATCAATTTGGATTCATGCCGAGTAGGTCTACTATGGAAGCCATATATTTATTAAGATGTTTGATGGAGAAATTTAGATAGAATAAGGAGGATCTATATATGATATTTATTGATTTAGAGAAAGCATATGATAAAGTTCCAAGAGAAATGCTATGGAGAGTTCTTGAAAAGAAATGAGTTAATAATGCTTATATTCAAATCATTAAAAATATGTATGCATGAGCTATTACTTGTATTCAAACACAAGGTGATTTGATCAAGTATTTTCTAATTTCGATTGGATTACATCAAGGATTAGCCTTAAGCCCATATCTTTTTGTTTTAGTCATGGATGTTCTCACTAGAAAATTGCAAGAGTATGTACCTTGTTTTATGCTTTTTGCTGGTGATAGTCTTCTTGTTGATAAGACTAAATAGGGAGTTGAAGGTAAACTTGAATTATGGAGGTCGACCTTAGAGTCCAAAGGTTTTCGCTTAAGTAGATCTAAAATTGAATATTGGAATGTAATTTAGTAACAATAGACCTAGTGAGGGGATTGTGACTTTGGGCGATCAAATTATTAATAAGAGTACACTTTTAGATATCTTGAATTTATTATTCAGAGTGATGGAGAAATATATGGGAATATTATCAGCATAATTCAAGTTGGATGGTTGAAGTGGAGGAAAGAAATACGAAGCTCCAGTGTGGTTGTTTGGATGTTTGAGAAATAGTGGACAGCAACACGAACTTCCTAGCTACCTTTGGACAGCACTTTGGCAATTTCTGGATGGTGGGCTGGAAGCTAATTGGGTATGGATTCTTTGGAAAGCAAACTGAAACCTCCGGACAGCAAACGTAGCTTCCTTGGATGGCGGGACAGCATAAGGGTTTGCTGAAATTCTCAAACAACAACAGGGAAATATGGGAGAGGAGTTTCAGCCAATAAGAAGGTTTGGGTGAGCTTTTGGAAAGATAGAGGAGAGAGAGAAGGGATGACCATATGGGGAGATAGGTTAGGGATTCTATTTCCAAAAGATGGTGTTAATTGATGGAAGAAAAATATCCCAAATCTGGAATTTAATTTCAGATTTAATGGGGAATTAATTGGGACTAATAATGAGGTAGGATTTAGAGAGGAGAAAGGGGTAGGCCGGCGCCATGCTTGGAGGGAGAGGAGTTTAGGAAGGGGATTTAATGATTGCCTTAATAAGAATATCCAATTAGGAATAATTGTTTAAATCACATCCAATTTGAAATTTGATTGGACTTGATTTAAGTAACTTTCCTAAAATAGATTGTCTATTTTATGAAGGATTTCAAAATTCAAAATTGATTGAATATTTGAAATCAAGACTTTTCAAAGGAGTTCGTATAGAGAAAGGAAAGTAATGATAGAAGATTTGAATTTGGAGGCAAGGGATGGGGAAAGGGGGGCAGCGGCTAGGGTTAGGGTTAGGTTGGGGTTGGTGGCGTGGAGGTGGGAGGGGGTGGCCGGCTGGATTGTGGTGGTGGTGGGGTTTGACCGAGAAAGGGGGTGGGGTTATCTTTGGCCAGCGGCTAGAAGGGGGGGGTGGGGGTTCGGTCGAGAGAGGAAGGAGGGGCTTTAACCGGCGGTGGAAGGGGAAGGGAGGGAGGATGGAGAACGACGTCGTCGACCACGAACCCGGACTCTTCCTGCGGTTGGTGGGTATAGCGATGCCCTCACCTCGGAACTTCAATCTCTCCAAAGCTCTCTCTCATAACACATAAGAGATAAGAAACAAAAGGCTAAAATTTTTCGTAATATCATTATTAGCCCTCAAGGAAGGAGGGGAATGCTTTAAATAGCCCAAAACAATAAAGAAAATACAAAAGACTCAATTGCCCTTAAGGCATACATAGGACTAGGCCCTTAAGCGAGGGAATAAACGAGAAAAAAATACAATAGGCTCATGAAACATAATACAATAATAATCAAAAGTAGATCGGTGAGATCGTGGCCGTAGATCGTCGGCCTGCCTCTGATAGACTCTCCAAGGCTTGATGTCCTCATCACTAAACATTTATAGTTGCAAGTGACATCTCAACCAAACTTCTTTGAGGTTAAGACTATATTATGGATGAAGTCCCAACAAATAAAAACACACCAAATATGTTGCTAGTTATATGGAAGAATCAACCAGCTTCAAAGGATATTTGGATAACTTGGGAAGACTTAAAGAAGATTGCACTAGATTAGTTGATGAATACGTTAATGTCAACTCTTCGAAGCAAAGTTCTTCGTGGCCTGGTGGAATTGGCAGAACATCAAGTGGTGCATACTCTTTATATTGACTCTTTTATGCAATATTGAATCAAGATTGGGTAATTTAATTTTTGAAATTTCTCTCTTGCTCGTTTGTGGAGGCCTGGTGGCCAATACTTATATTTTCCTTGAGTTAAGAATTTTTAGCATCTTCTGCTCTCTTGAAACCTAATCCTAACTTTCATCTCACCAATCTCTTCGCTCTTAAGCAAACCCATCATAGCTCTCAGTTTTGAATCCTAAAACAAACCCTAGTTCACAATTGTTCCTCTCTCCAAGCCTTAACTCATCCTCCTCATTATCCCTAAATCCAAATTTACCCTTAAAGCTCTCACTAAATCAGATAAACACAAAACCCAAGTCCATGAATTTTCTTAAAACTCCACAAATAAATCCTTGTGTCTGTGCATGCCCTTTATGACCAACATTTTCAATATTGAATTGGTGCTACAATAATCTGAAACCTCATAATTTTTAAGGGTCTAGCATGAAAGAATGTTACATTTGTAAAGATTCAGTTTGCCACGGATTGATCGAAAGGTTATCATTTAGCAGTACTATCTTCAACTATCAAGTTGTAATTTCGTATGCAGCAAGAAGCAATGGTCGCTTACTCCATTATTTCCCCAATTAAAACCGCCACTGCATTTCGGTGCTCTAGTCTCTGCCAATTTCTTTACTGGAGTTTTTTCCTACTCCAAAACAAGTCTGATTATGTACGCAAAAAGTTAGCCCTTTTAACCATGTAGAGCATTTATGTGAATTTACATGTACTAGCCTACATTACTCTCAAGCTTCAGTTACGCAAGGACATAGAAAGAGTAAAATTAAATAACACATAGATCTTATGCCAATCTAAGAAAGCTGAAACTGCCGATGCCTTTCAAAAACCTGAACAGGCACTCTAATCCATAACACATTATCGAGAAAGATAAAAAAGAGAGATAACTGTACGGGAGGAATTACGCCAGTAATCTTGACGAGCTGACCATCGGAGGCACTGAGAAGGTCAGAAACGGGCATACGATCTACGAATAGCAAGAGAGCCAGGTTCCTCCGGAAGCTTAACGAGTTCCAGATGAAGACTGAGATGATGAAAGTTGAGAGTAGCAGAAGCGCAGCGAGGAAGAGCGCGTTGCCAACCACTACAAGGATGAAGAGGGAGACCGCAGTGCCCAGAAGTAGAAGCGGAGCGAGCACAAATGGGACGGAAACCGGGACTGTTGCGCAGAGCCAGCGACCCGAGGTGGCGACACCGGCACCAGAAAGATCGTTCATTGGCCCTCGGCCGCCGGTCGGCGGAACGGGAATCTCTGGGTTTTTGGGAGTCTTGGTTCTGGGTTTAAGCAACTCGGATTAGGAGGATAAAAGGCCATAGATCACATGCAATAACATATTATTTATATAGTTTATGATGCTTTTAATCATATTATTTTGGACTACATTTTATAATATTATTATTTTAGTATAAATAGATTAATCATTATAAAAATTCAAAGAAAAGAATATATCTTTTTTTATGTTAGCTTATTCTCACTCATCACTCTCCCTCCCATCTTTTTTTTTCTCTATTTATTTAATAAAAAATAAGTATTTTATTATTGTACAAAGAAAATCAAATCGATAGAGTGAGAATAGATCTAAAAAATCTTAGTCTATTTTGATTCAAATGTATAAGCACATGAATAAATAACATCATACATTCATAAAATTTATTGAATTGAGGATTTGAAATAGAAAAATATATGATTTTTCTCAATTAAACAATTTCAACGAGTACAAAAGGTGGAGTTAAAAATATTATATTTTCTCGTATTTTAAGAAACAATCAATATAATACAAAAGAATAAGTTGGCTACCAATTCCTAGAGATGGCGTAGGATAGTGTTCAAGTGTACGTTTTAAGAGAGACAAATAAGGTGCAATCAATGCTTCTTAGGTGAGTTTTGCTGAGTGATGATAGTGACACACATCTTTTGTAATGTAGGTCATGATGTGATAATGGTTGTAAAATAAGTAAATGTTATATCACAGATCTTACTGCAACAACTCTTGAGTTTATAGCAAATCCAAGATAACCTTGGTAGTTTTTAGTGCTATAAAAATCTCTCTAAATAATTGAATGAGTGGATATTTAGAATGTGGACAAAAGGTGGAGTTAAAAATATTATATTTTCTCGTATTTTAAGAAACAGTCAATACAATACAAAAGAATAAGTTGGCTACCAATTCCTAGATATAGCGTAGGATGAAGTTCAAGTGTATGTTTTAAGAGAGACAAATAAGGTGCAATCACTGTTTCTTAGGTGAGTTTTGCGAGTGATGATAGTGACACACATCTTTTGTAATGTAGGTCATGATGTGATAATGGTTGTAAAATAAGTAAATGTTATATCACAGATCTTATTGCAACAACTCTTGAGTTTATAGCAAATCGAAGATAACCTTGGTAGTTTTTAGTGCTATAAAAATCTCTCTAAATAATTGAATGAGTGGATATTTAGAATGTGGAAGGTTTCAATTTTTATTCGAAAAATACATTCATTTATTTGATAATGAATTTCATTGATTAATTGTGAACTCTCGTGATTGAAATATGATTGAATGATATCATCATCTTGAGTAACAATGTTGACTCAAGCAAAGATCTGATGAAGATTACCACAAATAATGTTCTAGATCGACAACTTTAACATAATACATTATAGATATTCATGTTGCTTGCACATTAATGGTGGTAGAATAAAGTTGTGAAAAAAATTCAAGAGTGTTCACTATCTCTAATTTGGCATTGCTAGTAAATGATAAAGCATCCGACCATGTTATAAGGCGTGTTCTTTTGTTAAAGGGGGCCATGTTATCACACTATTGAACAAAGATTGTGGGAGATTGTAGTTTCTACAAGATGTTAAATGAGTATTTTCAAATGATTTACATCATAATAAGCAATGATTTGGTGCAATAGAGAGCATTATAACACAATACTCTTGACTATATAAACCCAATGATCGATTTGAATATGCCCCTCTTGTTGATGGATGTGGCAGTAGCAGAATCGACACTGTAAAGTCCACCACCTCCAAAGCTTGTCCTACATGATGAGGCTTTTAACGACACTAAAAAAATGATTATCATGACCATCAGTCCAATTTTGAATGGGTTGGGTCAAGCTGGCAAGCTCAAATTGACCGTGTTTTGTCTTTTGGGATGCTTGATTATGATATTATTAGCTTTGATGTAATTAGGTTGTGAGACAAATCTTATGGCATGCTGGTCACATCAAACAAACTTTATTTGATCTTTAATTTTTAATTTTTTTGGAAATGTTAGCATTAATTTAATCCTTATGATCACCCCTCTATATTTATGTGATTTATGAATGAGGTATCAAAATTTTCAAATTATGAGTTCTCATAATCATTACCTTAATATTGCTAAATGCTGAAGGAGTCCAACTGAACCCTCACAAGGTTTTTGCTATTGTAGATTGACCAACTCCTCATTCGATGTTCTTTGCTTAAATTTTTCACGGACTTGCTAACTTCTATTACAACTTTATTTGTGGCTTCAACATTATCATGGGCGTCATGGACATTAGTATGGACCTCCATATAAGGATAATGAGCAAAGTGGTTTAGCCTTGATACGTCATGCAAAAATTATATTGATCGGGCACGAATCTCGAGGCAAAAAGTTAGCCGGAAACTTCAAAAATTAAATCCGGGAGAACCTGAACTCCGATTTCAGCGAGCTTATAGTCAAACTGAGCGTCTCGGAAATACGAGCCCAACGACACCAAGATCAACCCAATCCGAGCCCAAATGAGTCCGAATCAAGGGCTCAAAGCGCTGTTGGAAGGTTCAAATCGCAATTTGAGAAATCTCACTTGTATAAAAAATACATGAACTCCTAATTATAATCTCATGTGAGATTTTTTTTTTTTTTCATTTTTTTGAGCTAAAGCTCATTTAATACCCACTTATACAATAGTTTAATAGTTTTAAAATATTTAAGAGCATAGTAAAATTTAAAATTTTATTTGGGACCGTTTTCTTATTTCTTTCTAAAAAAACCTCGCCACGTTCCCGAATCCGTCAACGACTCTTCCCAGCGCGCTTCTTCGCAATTAGCCGTTCAACTTCTTATCAGTCATGGCCGTGCCGCTCACCGCTGTACTCCGCACTCCTGCGGCGGAAGCTGTTGCTGCCTTCGCTCTTTTGCTGATCGCCGCCGTGGCATTGAAGCTGGTGCTGTTATGGAGAAAGCTTCCAAGAAGCGGTCGGAGCAGCGAGGAAAGGAGGAAGAAGATGTATGCGCCCGTGGCCGGCACCGTCTTCCACCACCTCCTCAACTTTGGGAGGCTGTACGACTTCTCTACGAGCTGTGCTCGACAGAATCCGACTTACCGCATTCTTTCTCCCTTCCACAGCGAGGTCTATACTGCCGACCCTGCTAATGTCGAGTACATTCTTAAGACCAATTTCACCAATTATGGCAAGGTAATCGATTTTCACGATCTAATTACTCTTTTTTTTTTTTCCTTCTACTGTTTGTTTATTGATTTTCTTTTTGCTGGAATTTGGAAGTTATATTCTTCTGTCGTCGGGCAAAGTTACTGGTGTTCAATTGAGACGGTTTTGATGATTTAGATTTATTAAAGTGGAATGCTCAATCTATACACAAAAGACAAAATAATAAAAGGTCATCCTAGAATCTGAGGGTTTTGACAAAAAGACTAAATAATAATTTCCTCCACACACCCCTCAGGCTCTGGTCGTGAGAAGGATAAAGCATTAAAGCCTGCTCAAAACTAAATTAAATAAGCATGCATAATCTATTTATGGTTAGATGATGCATAATCTATGTCAATTTGATTCAACTCTGCAAAAAGTGGGTGATTTTTTGTGATTCAGATCAAAATTAATGAGCTAAACCATATTCATCAAGATTCAAGACTGAATTGAGTTTTGAACCAGCCAAACCTAGCTGTTGTTATGGAGTTCAGATCTGATTTGCCTCATCTGGATTAAGCAATTAGCAGATCCTATCAGGATGCTAGTTCAAGATAGGAACATTTAAGAGGGCTGGACTTGGTAGTGATCTGATTTTCTTCACTATGAACTGATGGTTATGGATTCAAATCACGAAGACATTCTCTCCACTTTCTTGGGGTAAGAATGCGCACATTCATTCACTCCTTAGATTTTGCATTGGCAAAAACTTGATGCACTTGGTATGCCCTTATAAGAAAAGGATAGTTCTCAGAGTTACCTATCTTGTGGGCAAATTATTCTGTGCGGGAAGACCGCACGCAAGCTTACGTTCGGATTTGCTGAGCTTTTACTGTATTTTTGCAAAAGACAGCTAATATACAATTTTAATTGCATATTAGCAATTTTGATAAAGCACAACAAAAGCACAATAAAAACACAACAAATATCTTACTAATTGAGTATTTGTTGTGCTTTTGCAAATACTCAGTTAAAGCACAATAAAAGGGCAGCTAATATGTAATTAAAATTATATATTAGCTGCCTTTTGCAAAAATACAGCAAAACATAATAAAAGAGCAACAAATCTGAACGTAAGCTTGCGTGTGGTCTTCGCACAGAATAATTTGCCTATCTTGTGACCCTCGTCAAGTGGGAGTTAGAATGTGATTTTATGTTGCAGGGAGACTATAACTATTGCACCCTGAAGGATCTCCTGGGTGATGGAATATTTGCTGTAGATGGTGAGAAATGGTGGCACCAGAGAAAAATAGCCAGCCTTGTGTTCTCTAAGCGGATCTTCAGGGAATATAGTAGCATAGTTTTCAGAGGCAATGCCCTTAAATTAGTTTCTGTGATTGCACAGGCTGCAAGATCAAACTCCAGAATGGATATTCAGGTGAGTGTTTACCATAGGGTTTTTACTATCTTATTTTGCAAGAGGGATTCGATGATGTAAGTGGCTTACAGCATGCTTGCAGGACATTTTCATGAAGTCAAGTATGGATTCCATTTTCCAAGTGGCATTTGGGGTTGAACTGAACAGTCTATCTGGGTCCAATGAAGAGGAGAGAAACTTTACAGAAGCATTTGATGATGCAAATGTTTTGATCTCCTGGCGTTATGTTGATCCATTGTGGAAGATGAAGAAGTTCCTAAATTTCGGTTGTGAAGCTGAGTTAAAGAACAAACTTAAAGTTGTTGATGACTTTGTGTACAAAATTCTGACACACAAAGTCTCACAGTCGTCTAAACAGGTAAGAATTCCAGTTGCTCTTTACTAAGCACTCACTCTATCATCATTAGCCTTATTCAAATTATTTAGGACCGACTGTCTGAATCATCATTATCTATTCATTTTTGTAGAGGTGCAAGATACAGATCTTTTTTCATAGCTTCTATTGATGTTATCTTTGTTCTACTCATTTCTTAATTTAATTTACTTGTCTATGTCATCTCTTCTTCAATAAATGTTATTCTCAAGTTCATTTTTATAGTTATTTCTAAGTCCATCATTACCTGTTTTGGCATACATCTATCATAAGATTATTCTTTTTATCACTTCAATTTGACTATCAGCGACTCCTTTATAGCCTAATAATTGTATCTATACAATATTGACCACTTAATTGCTACTTTTTAAAATTTCTTCTTTAAACTTAAGTACTATTTTTAGTATTTTTTAGCACTTCTCTATCTTAGAAGTTTAGAAAAATTATATCCTCATCTATATTTTTTATTCTTCTGTATAAAAAATCCAAAATATTTTTGCCATTCACGCCCGGTGCTCACTTGTTATCAGTATTTAATTGAAAAGCTTCCCGAAACTTCTTCTATCTTTCAATTTATCAAGCCGCTGTTGAGAGCTGCGTTGATTTCCTGGATCTAAATGCTATTGCAGTTACAGAAAGAGGACATTTTATCAAGGCTTTTGAATGAGAGAGAGCAAGATCCAAAAAACATCACATACCAGTACTTACGAGACATCACCTTAAATTTCTTAGTAGCTGGCAGAGACTCGACAGCTCTTACCCTCTCATGGTTCTTTTATAGGCTTTGCTTGCATGCATCAATAGAAGAACAGGTGGTTAGAGAGGTGAATGCAGTTACTAAATTAATCCATCATGATGAACCTATAGCTATGGATGTATTTACAGCAAGTTTGACTGATAAAGTAATTGAGAAGATGCAGTATCTTCATGCGACGCTTACTGAGACCATGAGACTACATCCAGCGGTACCACTGGTAATATGTTACAACATAGCGATGAAAATTTTAGTTATAGAAAAATGTATAGTTAAGTCCCTAATGTATGCCTATTAAGCATAATAAGTCATCATATTCCAAATTTGCTGCCTCTTCGAATATCTGATTACTTTACTTTATGTTGATATGCTATAGGAAAATGGCTGATTTACGATGGAATTTTCTGTCGGAAATTGGCAAATATCCGTAAAAAAATTGTATTTCCGACGGTAAAACGCGCATCAGAAAATAATCACCAACAAGAAAAATTCCACTTAAAATTTTGGTAGAAATTCTATTAGAAATCTTGTTGCTAATTAAAAAAAAAAAATTATTGTATGAATCAAAAAAAGAAAATAACTCGTTATAATGAAAACAAGATTCAGTTTTATGATGTTTTATTTGTGAATCATAGTCCTAGACTAAAACTTATGTGCCCTAGATGTTTTTCTTCTTGGAGTCAAATAAATGTGGAAAAAAATCCTCCTTTCTTAGTTTTTAGAAAACTTCCACTTGTTATAGTAAAGAGGAATTTCTACTTTTGCATGTAAAAAATCACCAATATGAGTCCGACAGTATAATACCATTTAAGATATAAAACTCAACGTACTCTAGAAAGTCAAAATTCAACATGCAAACCGAAAAAAATAAGTTTGATATGCAAAATAATGTGATGAATAACTCACTTTTTCTTATTAATGTCTGATACATCGCTCCTCTCAGTTTTTTCCACGATCACCAATATAGCATGATGATGTCCATCAGAACAAGCCCATTGATTATAAAGCGAAAAAAAGGAAGATTAAAAGAAATAAACAGGAATTATGTCGGGATATTTCTCCCTAATCGGGGAAGCCTCTGCTTGTCTCCTTTCTACATATCAGACAAAAAATGAAAAAAAAAGTGACTAAAAAACATGACAACTAGCCGTGGGGCTTTAGATTAATACTCCATCTGTCAGGCGAGTGGACCAAATTATTTCTGCCACTCAACTAGAAGAACTGCAATCAAGTTAACGGGTAGACTGCAAGACAAATGGTCGTCAGGTGCAGCCAAGTATGACATCAGTTTCGAAGCAAAAGTGGAAGCATCCAACAAGCATTACATCTTCAAGTTAGACATCTTTTTAACAGAGTAAGATATCCTAGACTTTAGGTAATGGGGAAGATCTTGCCACTCATTGTAAACTGGCAAGCAGGGTCTCTCATCTTAGAGCTTGCACTGGGGAGAGATGGAGATATCCTTTTACTTCTCTAGTATGACTAAGAGTATGTTGCTTTTGTACAACAAAAGATAAATAATAACATTCTAACAGTGTCATTGTTCACAAAATGTATAAAAGCTTTTCTACTTATATTTCAATTAACAAACTTTTGTCCTTATTCATAAAGGAGGCATATTATATGGACTTACCTACAAACAAAAAACTTTTGCTTTTCTATTTTCTGGAGCAGGACCCCAAGATTTGTTTCTCAGATGATACTCTACCAGATGGTCATGATGTAAGGAAGGGGGATATGGTGGCCTACATGCCTTATGCAATGGGAAGAATGAGATCTATATGGGGTGATGATGCTGAAGTTTTTCTTCCAGAAAGGTGGCTTAAAGATGGCGTGGGTTTTGTTCACGAGAGCCCTTACAAATTTACTGCATTCCAGGTAACCAAGTTTGATAAATTTGACATCCTTGTAATCCATTATTAATCAAAATAAGGCTATCAAACCATCATAACTGAGTAATAGATATTCAAATAACACTTGTGTGATCTTACTGCTGGAATTGCAGGGCGGTCCTCGGATCTGTCTTGGTAAGGATATGGCTTATAGGCAGATGAAGATCTTCGCAGTGACGCTGCTGCATTTCTTCAAGTTTAAGCTAAGTGATGAGAACAGGTTAGTCAAGTACAGGACCATGTTAACTCTTCAGATTGAAAACGGTCTTCTTCTACATGCGATTCCCAGGCAAGGTCATGATATCTAGTTTCATGTGTGGTTATGACTTGATCAAATATTTATAATTAAAATAATAAAGTCGGGATAGTTAACAATCCAAGGTCTTTGTTTCGAGCCCAGCTGCTTATTTATATGATAATTGTTACCCGGCCAAACTTGTTCAAACCGAATGGTTCAAAATGGAATTTGTGAACTTACAAAACTTCTGTTGTGAGACATTCAACTTGACTTAATTCTGCCCATTTAGCAAATCTATAATGTTATTATTCGCTGCAACTGTAGAGGTTTTACTTCTCTCTGTCTTTCATTCGTGCCCTCTTCTCATTTCCTTCCTCTCCTTGCTCTCTTTCCACCCATCTCCTTTTACTGTTGTGTGTTGTTTGTTCATCCATTGATGTACTAATCGATCCTTGTAGTTTAGCAGTTAGATACTATTGCAAATTCTCAGTCGTAACTGTAACCTGGTTCCTCTCCATTTATTGCATCTCATCTCTTACATATGTCGAATACGGGAGGTTTATGAAGATTTATATCACAGATTATATATTGAGAGAAATTCTCCAATTCTTTTTTCTCTTTTTTTCTCAAGTCCACATTTTAAAATCTGACTTGAGATGATTTACTTGAAGGCCCCTCACCTATAGAGTTCGGGATTTTTTGGTTTTTGTGGCACATATATTCATCCTATATAGTATTAATATTCATCAACTTCATATAATGTGCGATAATTAGCATTTTGATTATGAAGTACTCAGACTTATATGGATTCATTGATATCTACTGTTGATCTAATGTTGGTTTATTTGCCTTTGGTGGGTGCATATTTATAGCTCTCTCTATATATATATATATTATTTATTTATTTTGTGGGGGGGGGGGGGTGGTTGATATAGTAGATTTATGTGTGAATCTATTTTAATGGATAATTTTGCATAATATACATTTAATTAGAAGTCATTAGATTTGTAAATGGAACCATATTCAATATTCAGGTTTTCCATTTAGTCTTAATGTATTGTATTGTTTTGTGATTTAGATTTCATGCTTTGGTGTTATTATGTGGGTGGTTGCTTATAAGGGCAGCTAATGAGAAGCTCTTTTACAATTTATTCATATTTTCAAATATTAAAAATTTTGAGTTAAAATAAAAAATTCTTCTTTAATTCATGAAATTCATATCATGAAGTTATGGACAATCTTTTTGCATAGTATCATTTAGGTGCATTAAAGTTATTTATATAATATTCTCTTATTTTAATGTGTTTTTCTATTTGATGGATTAAATATGCATATAATATATTAAAATTAAGAATATTTACTAAAATTTAGATGGATAGTCATATTTGTACTTTGCATTTTTCTTTAGTTTCAATTATCATTGTTTTTTTTTTTTTTTTGTTTTATACAATTACTTTGTTCTTATGAACTAGATTCACACTTATCATGCCTTTTAAGAGCTCTTGACATGGTAGCGTGATCAACATACTTAGATCCCAAATAATAGGGATTAACTTGGAGTGTAAAAAATATATGTGGTGGGATGTAATGCTAAAGCGAGCTTTGTGGATCAGGTCCATTATAAGGAGAAACTTTGGGGCAAGATTGATCTCGCCTTATTACTTGGAAGAGTTTAATAAATATTTTGAGAGAGCAATCTATTGTTCTTTCATTAGTGCTCAATGAAGAAGCCTTTATTAGGCTGATGGAGGGAAGCAAAATTATTATCACACTATAAGGTTGAGTTTCATGCTTTTGACTCCTAATGGGATTCGCCCCTGCATGTGCAGGTCAGAGTAAATTTTATTTCTTTGAAAGTTGGTTCTTGTAATAAACTGATGTCTTGAATGTGTTTTCATAAGGAATATCAAATTTATCATTTGGATCAAAAAGTGAAGTTTTGTATGCGGTGTTAACCTAATGCGTCTTCCTATAACTACAACTTTCTTATAAGATGGACCCAAGAGGTTAACAAGACTTGAAAGTTTAACGGCAAGGCTTGGTTTCATCAAACCTAAATATCTTTTCATAGGGCGTGAGCCTATATTATTTATGAAAAAGACAGGGATTGTACAATGCATGTGTATAGATTATAGAGGTTGAAACAATGTGATAATTAAAGAATAAGTTTTCATTACCTTAAATCGATGACTTGTTTTGATTAATTAAACGAATATTTTATATCTATAAGATAGATTTAAGAATCGACTATACATTAGTATGAAGGTGAAATCATAGGATATGGAAAAAGACATCATTCAGACATATATAATAATTGAGTTTTCGAATTTATGATTTAGTATTGATACGTTGGCAAAAATTATCTTGATCGGACATGAATCTCAGGCAAAAAGCTAGTTGGAAACTTTCAAAAATTAAATTTTCGGAAGCACCTAAACTCCGATTTTCAGCAAACTTACAGGTCAACACTGAGCGTCTTTAGATACAAACCAACACAGCCAAATTTGACTTTCAATCCGAGCCCAAAGAGTCCAAATCAAGGACCTAAAGCGCTTGTTGGAAGGTTCGAAACCATAACTTTGAGTTACAACGGTCCTGATTTTGGCGAGCTTATAGTGAATCCGAACGGCTCGACGAGACGAATCCAACGAGCCAAGACGCCAGATTCCGACATCAAACTAAAGGCTTCAAATGGCTCGACGACGGTGTAGATCAATATGATTTCAATATCAGCCGTCATTCAACACTGCCATTATTTCGCCCTGATCTCACAACCTATTTACAAGCCATGCACTCCAGAAAACTATATAGGCCCCTCATCTTCATAAAGGGGGGTTAAGTGAAAGAGAGAAGAAGGAGAGAAGGAGGAGAAGGAAGAAGCTCCTCCTCGACACCGCCGGAGCTCTCTTCCTGTCGTTTGAAGACGCGGAACTTCTGCGGATTTTCGGGAAACGCCGGAAATTTTTGCAGAACTTTGTAATTGTGAGAAGTTGATTGTAAATTGATCGTCTTTATTTGTAAGACGGATCAACCTTTGTACTTCAAACAAATACTAGTGGAGAACTTTGCAACTGGAACGAGGCCCGTGGTTTTTTTTTTCCATCTTTCGGGTTTTCCCACGAAAAACCTTGATGTTCACTTTCCTTTTTCTGCTTGGTCGTGTGAAACTCGTACAACGCTAGGACGCAAATTTACAAACTCTATCCGCGCGTATATTCTAGCACGCAACAAGTATGATGTTTGCACGCTAGTATTTTATAGATTTATGAACGCAAATATTTAGCATTATATGTGTATTATAGATTTAATGAACCATATGACTTTCAGTCAATACTTAAATATTCTGTGATTGTTGTTCATTGAAGCATATAGTCGTATTCAAGAACCTGAAGAAAATCATGCAACTCATTTGTGATTGATATGGAGACAGTTAAGATAAAATAATCTATACAAGTTTTTCAAAAATGTGGATTCTTTTGTAACTAACTATTTTATTATTTATGGCAATGGTAGTGAGGTTATGCGGTGGGATAATCAATGAGATCTCATAAGATATAAGTATTATGAATGGACCTAGTTTACTAGGTAGCGGATGCTGACACGCGGATGCGGGCCTGGGGCAGTGGGCAGCTCGGGTGGGGTAAAAACAGCGGGCAAGGGCGGGAATTAAAGATTTTTTAAATTAAAACGGGTTTTCGGGTTGACCCGGCACCGTCGGGTCAACCCGAACCTAACCCGTTTTTGCAAACGGGGACGGTTTTTCCCGGACCTCGAACCCGACCCGTTTGGTTTCGGGTCCAACCAGACCCGAAAATCCGAGTCAGGTTTGGGTCGGGTTTTCGGGTCGGGTCCAATATTGACAGGTTTAGATCCTGAAGGATTCCAAGTATTTAGTGAAAAATATAATAAAAGAAGATATATTATTCTTGTTATGCTATTAAACTTGGAGTTATAAATAATTTTTCATCATAGTATTGGAATGACATTGCTTTGAAGTTTGTATGGTTTTAGAATGTAAACTACCTTTAAAGCTAAAGGAAAAAGAGATTGTTAGGGACCAAAATTTAAGGTTTGATGTTGGGATGGTGCCATAAGAAAATATAAAACTTTCAGAGATGGATTGAAGTCAGCATAAGATATATAGCACAAATATTATGATCCTCGAGCTTGGTATAGTATAATTTAATATTCATTGGTTTTAATATTTGTGAAGTAAGTCCATTGAAATGTTGGAAATTTGGTAGAATAAAGAAAGTAAATCCTCATTATTTGAACCAATGATAGGTAAGAGTTAGAAAATATATTTATATATTAGTTTTATACATAAACATTATGCCCTTATATTCCTAATGTGCAAGAATGTAGTGGTAGCAACTTTATATACTGAAGTGAATTACAAATACTAATTTGACTCAAGAAAGAACTTGATCGGTATTTTACTTATGATGCGAAATATGTATGAGGAACGCAAATTTATTATATTGCGAAGTTAAATAGCCAACATAAAAATA